CATTTTCATGTTCTCCTCCTGGTTTTGGCCTCAGGAGAGCCAGAGAGCGTGGCTGGGCTGGGCTTAAGCCTCCCCCATCGCTTCCCTCACTGGGTGTGGCGCTTCTCATCCCTTACTGGGAGACAGGGCATGAGAGGGGGCAGACAAATTCCTGCTGACCCCAGCCCCTGCAGAGCCCAGGGGGCATTGGAGGCTCAGGGCAAGTAACAGGACCCAGGTATTTGAGCCCAACCAAGTTTTTAACAGTAGACTTTTTCTGTGAACAAAAGTGTGATGATTTTTTTTTTTTTGTAATTTATGTAAATAAAGTGGTTTTGGTGTTGTTTTTTTTTTTACAAAACGGATTGTTCCAGAGCTCAGGTACAGCCAAACCTGAGAGAAGGGAACAGACCCTCGCAGAGGGCAGAGCCACATCAAGACATGGGGGCCAGCAGAATCAGGGGCCATGGGACAACCCCCCACTCACATCCTGCTGAGCTCGGTGGTGGCTGCACCAGGGATGGGGGCACAGCTCCAGGGACAGAATGACCTGCTCCAGTGGCTCCAGGGACAGAGGGCTAGGAGCTGCCAGGGGATTCAGGGCTGGAGGCTGTGGTCTTCTGCTTCAGGGGGATGATGCAGACACTGTTTTTGGCTTCTTTGATTCTCCACCACCGTCCCAGCCTGTGGGTGAGAGAGATGGGGGAGTCACCATCCAACAAGACCCCAAGGAGGGGGAAGCTGCACCTGCAGGCAGCACCAGGGAGGGGGGACAGTACCGGTGCTCCTGCCCGATGCCAGCCACCAGGAAGTCACCAGCTGCTGAGAACTTGAGGCTGTTCACAAAACCCACCTGGAGGGGACAGGGCAGGGTAAAAGGACAGGGCAGGGTGAGGGGCTCCCATGGGCTTCTCCTGCTGCCCAAGAAGGGGAGCCCCTGCTCAGAGACCCTCCAGCCCAGCTCCAGAATTCCCAGCCCGCCCATCCATCCATACCAAGGGGATGTCCAAGAGCTGCTCCAGCTTCCGAAATCCTTCCCCACACTTCCAGAGCTTCACGCTGCCGCTGTGGGACCCTGGGGCACAGAGAGGAGCCTGTCATGCACCCCAGCCCAGGGGTGGGAGCAGGACTGGTGTCCCCCAGGCTGCCACCCCACACACCTGTGGCCAGGAGGTCACTGTTGCGCAGGGCAGCCACGGCTGAGACCCAGCAGGGCTGCTGCAGGCCCTCGGTGCCCTGCTCGCCGTGCGCCTGCCGAGCCAGCGCCAGCGGCTTCTTCTTCGTCAGCCCCCACAGGGCTACAGACCTGCGGGGATGGGAGGGATGAGGGGGCTGAGGGGGCACTCTGCCCACCCCAGGCATCATCCTGGCCCCATGCTCACCCATCATCTGCACCAGACACCATGTGCTCCTCGTTGATGAGCTGGATACAGTCGATGGAGCCCCTGCGAAGAGAAGAGGCAAGTACCAGCAGTTACAGGTGTGCTTTGGGATCCTGCAGGGCTCCTAGCACCCACACAGCACTGCCCCAGCTGACACACCTGCCCACAGCCCCCTGTGCCACCCCAGACCTACTGGTGCCCAGAGAAGACGAGCTGTGACTCCTCAGGGATCTTCCAGAGCCGCACGGTGCCGTCCCGTCCCCCCGCGGTCACACAGCACTCCCGGCTCAGGCTGTCCAGCCCTGTGATGACGTCCTGGTGTCCAAACCTGCACAAGGAGATGACAAACAGCTGTGGCAAGCAGGGCCCTCTGCCCCCTCACTCCCCAGGGCTGCTGGGCACCCCTTGGAAGGGTCATGGGATTTCCCCAGGTCTTACAGGGTCTCCACGTATGCGTTCTCAGCCACGTCCCAGACCTTGACGCAGCGGTCGTGGGAAGCGCTGTACAGCTGGTGTGTGCCCTTTCGGAAGGACAGGCCCTGGGGACAGACGGACAGACAGGGCACAGCAGTGAGGATGCCGAGCAGGACAGAGCTGCCTGGCCCCACAGACACTGTGCCCAGTGCCCCCAGCTCACCGAGACGGCGTCGCGGTGCCCCGTGAAGATGTGCAGGCGCTTGCAGGTGGCGGCATCCCAGATCATGATCAGCTTGTTCCTGTCCCCTGTAGCCTGGCAGGCAGCAGGGGACACCTGAGACCTGCACCCTGGAGACCCACAGCCCACCCCTGCCTCCACCCCTACTCCATGGGCTGCGGCTGTCGCAGGAACCCATTCTTGGCCCAGCAGGGGATAGGGGCTGCTTTAACCCAGCAGGGCACATCTGGGCATGAGGCTGTGCCCCCAGAACCCAGGAAGAACACTCCCCAGGGCCATCTCTCCCCCCCTGCCCGTACCAGGTACTTGCCGTCCGATGAAATGGCCATGCAAAGGACCTGGGACGCGTGCCCCATGTGCCGCTCCTCCGTGCCCTTCTTCCCCCCGGGCACCACGCACAGCCTCTTCCCACTGTCCACCTCCCCTGCGGGAAAATCGTCACAATCACCCTCTGGGAGCCTCCCACCACTCCCAAAAGTGTCAATGAGCCTTCCACAGAGCCTGGAATTATGCACAATCTAAGAATAGTCAAGGGCCAAGCCACCTCAGAGGGCACCTGGGTCCCTGCAGGGGTTGGGCTTGGCAACAGCCAGTCACAGCCCCAGGTGAACAACTTGCATTTGATGAGGGAGCCGTCCTTGGAAGCAGAAAAAATGAATTTGTCATCAGGAGAGATGACGAGGCAGGTAACGGGCAGCTGGTGTCCACGCAGCACACGGATCCTGGCTGGATCTGGGGGCTGTACCTGCAGGAAGAGCAGGATGTGAGCTGGGCTGCCCAGGACCCCTCCCCGCGCACAGCAGCACCCCAGCACAGCGCCCTGGCTGCTCCAGGGACAAAGGCTGTGGGGTGCTGGCCGTGCCCTAGTGTCCCCGAGGCTGGCACTGGCAGCCTGGCACCCCGGCACTCACATCTTTGGCGACCAGGCGCTGCAGCCGGCCTCTCTGCTCCAGCTGGGGAAGAAGGGGCACGTTCAGCAGAGGGGGCGGCCTCAGTCCCGGTCCCGCGGGAAGGGGACCAAGAGGCCGCGCCCGCCTCCCCGCTCACCACGTCCTCCTTCAGGCGGTCGCCGATGAGATCCGCCGGCTCGAGCTCCTCCTCGTCCTCCGCCCGCTCCTCCTCTGCGGCGGGACAGTGCGTGAGGCTCGCGCTCAGCGCCCGGGGCCGCCCCGCGGGGCACCGGTACCGGGCGGGACTCACCGAGCTGCCGGAGCTCCTCCAGGTACTGCTTGGCCAAGCGCAGCTTCTTCTCCTGCGGCGTCTCCTCCACCTCCTCCTCCGCGGCCTCTCGCCGCCGCCGCCCCAACAACGGGCTGCGGGGACACGTGTGCGTGAGCACCGGTACCGGCACCCCACAGGTACCGGCACACCTCCGGTACAGGCATCCCCTGGTCCGGGATGTCTCCGGTACAGGCATCCCCCGGTCCAACACCCCCTCCGGTACAGGCATCCCCGGTCAGACACCCCCTCCGGTACAGGCATCCCCCGGTCCAACACGCCCTCCGGTACAGGCATCCCCCGGTCCAACACCCCCTCCGGTACAGGCATCCCCGGTCAGACACCCCCTCCGGTACAGGCATCCCCCGGCCCGGCATCTCTCCGGTACAGGCATCCGCTGCCCCGGCATCTCGCCGGTACAGGCATCCCCCGGTACCGGCACCCCGTTGCGGTAGCGGCACTGCCCAGGCGCAGCCCTTACCTCTCTGTCTCGGAATCGCTGGACACTTCCTCGTCGGCGGGCCGACCGGCCGTCGCCCGCGGTCTCCCATCGGCGCCCGGTGCCTGTGGAACAAAATGGGGCGATCGACGGGACGGGAATGGGGATGGGGACGGGCGCAGCGAAAGCCCCACGGCGGGGACCCGGGCGAGACATCCCTTCCTCGCCGGCCTCGCTGTCTCCCTCCGGCCCGGCCCTTACCGCCGACCGTGACCGCCGCCGCGCCGCCGCCCCGCGCGGGGCCTTGGCCCGCCTGCCGCCCGCCGCCGCCGCCATGCTGCCGCCGCACGTGGGCGCCCCCGGCCGCCACCGGGGCTCAGGCCACGCCCCCGACAGCGCCTATTGGCTGTGTCCGGCAGGATCCCGCCTCCCATTGGTCCCGCGGCACCGCCTCCCGGTCCCGGAAGCGCGCCCTGCCCCGCCCCGGTCCGACGGCCGCGCGGTCACTCCAGCGTGACGTCACGTGTTAGCTCCGCCCTCTGTCTGTAGGCACGCCCTATTGTTTGACCACGCCCCCCTGCCCCTCCGGTGCCGGTGCCGGTGCCGGGGGTCCCTGCGGCCGGACCGGCCACTCGTACCGGGGACCCGCAGCCCGGAGCGGCTGTCAGAGCCCCCGGGTCCCCAGACTGCCTCCTCTGCCCCCATGGTCCTTCGGACCCCGTCCCGCAGCTGGCAGCCCCCGTGGTGACAGTGGCAGTGGGTTCGTGCTTCCGAAACGATGGTCAGCTCGTCCTGCCCCTCAGGGACCCTTAACCAGCCTCTACTGCCGAGCATGGCCTCTGCTCCCTCCCCATGCCCTTTGTGGAGTGCCAGGGACCCGTCCTTGGCCATGCTGGGGTAGCGTCGGTCTGTCTGGGAGGGCTAGTGCTCTGAAGAGCTAAAAACCGCTTTTGTGCAGAAATTTTATTATGTGCAAACAATATCTTTTTTCTTTGGCACAGTGGGAGTCAGGGAAGGACAGTGGGAATGTCCTGCACTGGTCTCTGCAGGGCAACAGGCCTAGGGAGAGCCTGTCCCAGCCTGTGAAATGGATGCACCAGTGGGGAATGATGCTACCCTCAGGCTCAGCATCCCAGGGCATGACAAGAGGAGCCACCGTCTCTGGCTGAAAGCCTGTCCAGGCTATGGAATTTTGGTCTTGGTGGCCCCAGGCTGCTGTGGAGCTGCTGCTCAGGCTCTGAGGCTGCAGGAACCCACGCCAAGGGCAGTGCGGAAGGGGGCACGGACCGTGAGCCCTCCGGCCGCCAGAGGGCGCGGCCGGGCCGGGCCGGGCCCAGGAAGTGACGGCGGCGGCGGGGCCGGAGAGCGGTACGGGCGGGACCGGGCTGGGCAGGGACAGAGCGGGGAGACGGGCAGGGACAGGGGCTCGGCCGTGCCCCAGGGATGGGCCAGTGATGGGTCAGTGCTGGGGTCACTGGTAGGGTCAATGACGGGTGGTGAGGGGTCAATGGTGGGGTCAGTGGTGGGTCCGTGGTGGGTGAGTGGTGGAGTCATAGATGGGTCAGTGCTGGGTCAATGCTGGGGTCAATGACGGGTTGGTGGGGGGGGTCACTGATGCGACAGTGATGGGTGAGCGTGGGGGTCAGTGATGGGGTCAGTGATGGGTCAATTCTGCGGTCACTAACAGGGTCAATGACAGGTTGGTGGAGGGTCAGGGATGGGGGTCAGTGATGGTTCAGTGAAGGGGTCAGTGATGGGTCAGTGATGCGGTCACTGATAGGGTCAATGATGGGTTGGTGGAGGGTCAATGATGGGGTCAGTGATGGGTCAGTGATGGGTCAATGCTGCGGTCACTGATAGGGTCAATGACGGGTTGGTGCGAGGTCAGTGGTGGGGTCAGCAATGGGGTCAATGGCAGGTCAAACGACAGGTCAGTAATGAGGTGACTGTTGGGTCAGTGTTTCTTGGTGAGGGTCAGTGGTGGGGTGGGGACCCGTGTTCAGGAGGTGCAGCCATGAGGTGGGAGCAGCGATCAGCTGCTGTGTCTGTGTGTGAGTGCAGTGTGGTTTGGAGCAATCGGGGTGCAGGCAGGCTGAGTGCCCCGTGTGGGGGTGCAGAGTGGGAAGTGGGGGGTGCTCTGTGGGGCCCTGGACAGACGTGTCATTCACACCGGGGAAGCAGATCGAGGCGCTGTGGTTGGTCATGAGCCTGGGCTGCTTCCTGCTGCGCTGGCACCCGGGGCAAAGGAGCCAGCAGCAGCGGGCAGGGTGAGTGTGAGCAGGGTGAGCGTGAGCAGGGTGGGTGTGAGCAGTGACTGAGCAGGGTGAACGTGAGCAGGGTGGGTGCAGACAGGGTGGGTGGGTGAAGGCAGGGTGATGTGGGCAGGTGGGTAGCAGGCAGATGCTGTTGAGGTCATGGCGTGGCTTTGCTGGGCAGGCAGAAGGAAACCATCACCTCCTCAGGAGTGCTGGTGGGGTCTGGCCTCTGAACGGGACAGTGCAGGCTGGGCTGTGGGTCAGGAGTCTTGGAACTAGGGGGGGTGACCCCACCATGCCTCCTAGGAGCACCTAGGGTGTGGGAGGGCAGACTGAGTCCCTCCCCAACCCCCAGAGGGGAAGTGGGGCAGTTTGCTCAATCCTGGTTAATCAACTGGCGTGGTGGTTGCTCCTGCCTTCTGCCTGTGGCTTGTTTGCAAGGGGAACTGCCAGGCTGAGAGAGGGGACCCTGCAGCATGCTGTAGGATAGCCTCTGACCCCACAGAGGCTATTTGGGCTCTTCAGAACCCTGACTGAGGACATGTGTGATGAGCTAGCTGGTCTGATGGATGCCAAGGTGGCAGGAGCTGGTGGCAGGGGCTGGGGAGGAAGCACTGTGCCTCCTGCCGCGCAGCTGATTGGGCAGTGCTAGACCTTTCTGTAGGTCTCATGGCATGATTTCCTGGGGCTGGCACCATGTGCCACTTCCCTGCCATGAGTCTCTTGTTTGTTCTTGGACCTGCCAAACCTCCATGAACTCATCTGGCTGTGCTGCTGGGGCACTGTACCTGTGCTGGGGCCAGTGGCGGGCTGGGGGGAACACACACACGCACGGTCTGTGCCTTACTGCCTCTAAGCTGTGACTTGCTTGGTTTCCTGTCAGTGAGAAGAATGGGTTCTGTGTCAGAGGAGCTCAGCTTGGTCCCCTTGCACCAGAGGCCGGAGCTGCTGGAAGCCTGTGCGGAGCTGCTGGGCGAGGAGTGGGGGAAGAGCCGTGCGTCACGGCTGCACTCGCTGCAGCGCTCCTCGGACGCCTTTCCCGCCTGCCTGCTGCTGCTGCGGAGCCGCGGCGCCAGCGACAGCCCTGCCACCCGGCAGGGGCCCTGCGAGCTCGTGGGCCACGTGCGACTGTCCCGCGTGCTCAGCCGTCCCCATGACCTCTTCGTGGAGAGCGTGGTGGTGGCGCGGGCGCTGCGGGGCCGGGGCTACGGGCGCCGGCTGATGGAGGCCGCTGAGCAGTGGGCCCGGGCCCGGGGCTTTCGCTGTCTGCGCCTCACCACCCACGACAAGCAGCATTTCTATGCGCACCTGGGCTATGTCCTGGGCGAGCCGGTGCAGAGCGTGGCCTTTCTCAGCCCGGCGATATCCTCTGAGGTGCTGCGGCTCTTCTCCGCCCCTTCTGGGGCTGCCGCTGCCGCCAGCACCAGGCCGTGGGTACCCGCTGTGCCCCCGCCGCCCCTCGCTGTGCCCCCACCGCCTCCCCCACCCACTGTGATCTGGGCGAGGGGTGTCCTGGCTGAGGGCGGCGAGCAGCAGAGCGTCCTGCAGACCCCGCACCGCGATGCCAAAGGGCTCCCCATCTTCTGGATGAAGAAGGACATCTGAGGGGCCCCGAGCAGTGATTAAAGCAGTGCGGGTGGGAGCTGCCCGCTGCAGCCCTGCCTGACTGCTGCCATTCTTCAGGGCTGGCACCAGCTCCACCAGCCTCCGTGGTTCACCCTGGCCCCATTGCTGGGGCAGGGAATGGGCAGAGTTCCTGTGCCCTGCCCTACCCGGGCACGCTGCCTCTGCTCCCGCCTGGCCCCCAGCTCGCCTGGCTGGGGCTCTGGGACCACCAGCATGGTGGGGAGCCAGGCCCACCCCAGGCTGTGGGGTTGGCGCTAGTCCCCAGGAGCACTGCCCAGTCCCACCAGTTGTGTCCTCCACTCAGGATTTGCTATGGGGCAGCTGGGGCTGATGGAAGCGGTGGCCTCCAGCATGGCCAGAGCTGTCCTCACTGAGCGGTCTGGGGAAACTGAGGCACAGGATGGCTGGGGGGGCACTATGGGAACTGGGCATGGTGGTGGGGCTGCAGAATCAGGTCCCCTGCACTGCACAGCGAGGGGGGCAGGTGGCCAACCCCCCCTAAGGCAGCGGGTGTCAGTGAGGGACAGGCATGGGAGCGGGAAGGTCAGAGTGTCCGGCCTGGCAGCGAGGGATTAGCGCTGTCCTTGCTGTGTCACGCGGCCCTGGGCCCATTCCCCGCCTAATCCCCTCATTCTGGGCAGCTGGCCAGTGCTGGGCAGGGGCACCAGACCCCTCTGGCCCTGCCTGGGCTGTGAGGGACAGAGCTGTCCCTTTGGCCCCACCATGCCTCTTGCGGGGACTCAGTCCTTCAGCAGGTCAGCCAGCCTGGCTCAGCACTGTGCTGAAATGGGGACCAGAGAATCTTGGTGCCTCCACTACAGGCAGGACTGGGAGCCAGCAGGGAAATTGAGGCACCAGGGTCAGTGGCTTGCAGTGCCACTCCAGAGCTGTGCCATGGCTGTGGTGGTGCAAGGAGGATCACAGTACCAGAGAGCAGCAGGCAGGGGTAACACTGGCAGTGTTGAGGCAGAAGGGATCTCAAAGCCCCAAGTGTACCCAGTCCTGTCAGGTTTTGGGGTGGGCAGCATGTGCTTGCAGGACAGCCCAGCCCCTGTGGCCAGTCCTAGTCCACCATGTGCCAGGGGGCAGTGCCTGCATTGCTGGAATGCCCACTGCATCCCACAGCCTCATCCCCACGGCTCTCCTTTCCTCGCAGGGTGCCGGCCCCGCAAGCAGCTGGTGAGGCGGGATGGTGCTGGTGCTGGCACTGTGGGCCTGCCTGGCACTGGGCACAGCCAGCGAGGAGAGCCCGGCACCCGAGCCCCTGGCAGGCGGGCAGCCCTTTGCCGTGGTGTGGAACGTCCCCACCGAGCGCTGCCAGCGCCGCTTTGGCATAGGGCTGCCCCTCGGCGACTACGGCATCGTGGAGAACCAGGGTGGCCACTTTGCCGGCCAGAACATCACCATCTTCTACAAGAACAAGTTTGGGCTGTACCCCTACCTGTCACAGCACGGTGTGCCCCATAACGGGGGCCTCCCCCAGCGTGTTTCCCTCGACGCCCACATCAACAGGGTGGCTGAGGACATCCACCTCCTTCTGCGACCGGCTTTCCATGGCCTGGCCGTGGTGGACTGGGAGGAGTGGAGGCCCCTGTGGGCCCAGAACTGGGGAGCCAAAAGGATTTACCGGACAGCCTCGGAGCAGTGGGTGCGGGAGCAGCACGGCTTCCTGCCGGCACGGCAGCAGCTCCGGCTGGCCCAGCTGGAGTTCGAGCAGGCGGCACAGGCTCTGATGGAGGAGACGCTTCTGGTGGGCCGAGCCCTGCGCCCCGGGGGGCTCTGGGGTTTCTACCGCTTTCCCGACTGCCTCAACAGCAACTGGGCCAAGGAGGCAAACTACACCGGGCGGTGCCAGCCGGCCGAGGTGCAGCGGAACAACCGTCTGGGCTGGCTCTGGGCCGCCTCTTCTGCCCTGTACCCCAGCATCTACCTGCCGCTGGCGCTGCCGCCCGCGCTGCGCCGCCGCTTCGTGCACCACCGGCTGCGCGAGGCCCTGCGCGTGGCCGCCCGCGGGGCCCACGGCCTCCTGCCCGTGATCCCCTACTCCCGCCTCTCCTTCCGCCGCTCCGCGCGCTTCCTGCAGCTGGTGAGCACTGTGGGGCCGGAGCTGGCTGCGGGTGCCACGCGGGGTTCTGGTTGGCGCAGGGACACAGGCTGTGTCCCCCAGACGGGTCACGTCTGTGTTCCTGGCAGGCTGACCTGGTGCACACCATCGGGGAGAGCGCGGCGCTGGGAGCGGCTGGACTCGTGCTCTGGGGAGACCTGTCCTACTCCCACTCGGCTGTGAGTATGGCCCCTGCAGCACCAGAGGCTGTGGGATGTACGGGGTGGCCACATCCCCCGTGCCCACCAGGGAGGGCTGGCCAGGTGTCTGTCGCTGGGGCGGGTTCTCACTGGTGCTTCCTCCCCAGGAAAGCTGTGCCAACCTGCGCCACTACCTCGTGTCCACCCTGGGTCCCTACGTGGCCAACGTGACGGCAGCAGCCCGAGAGTGCAGCTACGGGCAGTGCCACGGGCACGGGCGCTGTGTGCGCCGGCAGCCCCACGAGCTGGGCACCCTCCTGCACCTCGGCCCCGGTGCCAGCCCGTGGGCTGCTTTCCGCTGCCACTGCTACCGTGGCTGGGCAGGGGAGGGCTGTGCCCAGCGGGTATGGCTCAGCCCTGCCACCTCCTGCCAGGTGCCCGCCCACGCTCACAGCCTCTATGGGCACAAGGATCTCACATCCTCTGACACCTGCCTGCCACAGGGCATGTGGGGCTGGTGACAAAGGCCAGGGACCGCCACGGTCCCCTACCCCAGCAGTGCTGCTGCTGGCACTTCCAATGGTCTCATTAATCTAAATAAATTCTCCTGGCACAGCTGGCATGGTCTTTGTGGGCAAAGCTGGGGGACTCTGTGGTGTCCCCACGCTGGGCACAGTTGCCATTGCTGCTGAGAGGCAGCACAGACCCCAGTTTGGCTCTGGATGGGTCCAGCAGTGCATCAGTTTTCCTGCATGGGCTCTGCCCTGATCCCGTAAAGCTGGCAGCCGCTTTACCCTGGGAAAGGGGGCATGGGGCACTGCCACAACCTGCTGTCCCTTTGCCACTGGCACTATGCTGCCCGCAGCCCTGTCCACGCCACCAGGCCCCCCTCCCCACAGCTATTTTTATCGCCCCCCAACCGTGTTTCTCACTGTCCTATTTTAAGCGGCGCAGTTGGCGCACCGGGAGCCCAGTGCCCAGCTCCTGGGGGCCCTGCACCACCTCACTGCCCGCTCACGCTGCCCAGCACAGGCAGCCATGCCCAGGGAGGCTGCAGAAGGTACTCTGGGGAGTGGGCTTGGGGCTGGCGGGGGCTCTGGCACCCCCGGGGATACCGGGCAATGCAAGGCTGTGGGGTTGGGATGGGAGCAGTGGACAGATGGTGCCCTCTGCCATGCGGGCTGTGGGCAGAGATGCCTGCCCGGGGAAGAAGGGGGTCCTGGACGGCTGCAGGGGTAGGGCAGCAGGGTTTGGGGAGGGTACAGGCAGCTGGCACGCACAGCCCCCTGCAGCAAACCTGTGTGACCAGCTGTGCCCCCATACCTGGGGCAAGTGGGGTCAGGGGTGATGTGGGTATGTGTGCAGCAGTCCCTGGCCAAGGGTAGGGCTGTGGGGAGGGTCTGAGGGGGCCCTGGGTACCGGCTGAGGCCCCCCAACCCTGATGCCTGCCAGCCTGTGGGTGACACACAGTCTGGACAGCAGCAGCACGGCGCCACGCTGCCCTGCGACACGCCACTGACCCCGGGAGGGATTGGGGGTGGGCACGCTGCCAGCCTGCCATGCTCTGCCAAGGGCACAGTGCGTGGGCCCTGCCCACTGCTCAAAAATACACAAACACCTAGAAAATAATCTTTTCCCTCTACCCCAATGCAGGCATGGTTGCTTCCCAAAACAGTGCTGGAGCAATGCCTACTTCCAAAAAGCCCTCTCAGTCCCGTGTGACATGCTCACTACGGCAATGGGCACCAGGGCCCCCTGGCACAGCATACACCCCACATCTCCATCTGTGCACCCCAAGCAGCACAGTACCTGTGGGGCAAGCCAGGCCACATGGCAGACTGGCACTGCCCTGCACCTGCCCACCAGCTTCCAGCTGGCCCTTGGAGCCTTGGAGCCCCAGCCAGTCCCACAGTGGCTGGGCTATCCTGGCTGGGGGGTGGCACATTCCTGCCCCCAAGCCAGGGCCAGATTCCAGCCCCACTAACAAGGCTCCGGGATCGTGGCCACCAGGCACCCGCTAACTGCTGCGATGACAGCGGTGGGGCAGGGGGGGCACAGCCAGGGCTTGCCCACGGTGGCTGCAGGGCTGAGCCAAGGAACACCAGCCTTGGCTGCCTGCCCTGTGCAGCACCGGGCTGCCGTGGCTGAGATCCCCCCAGCAGGGCTCTGGTCCCACAGGGGTGCCCAGGGCAGGGCACAGGCTGACCCTTTGCCTCTGTTCCAGCAGACACCATGGGAAAGGCTGAGGGTGCTGCACCAGCAGAGCCTGGGGACCCCGACAGCAGCGAGTCTGGAGCCATCAGCCTGCGCCCCGTGGAGTCCATCAGCGACCTGTACTGGGCCTCGGGCGGGCACAAGGGCACAGAGGGTGAGAGGGGGCAGGGGGGCTGTGCAAGGCCCAGCTGTGCCCGTGGCCAGGCTCTGACCCCTTCTCTCCCCTGCTGCAGGCAACGGCCCGGCTCCCTCCAGCAGCCTGCACCGGCCCCCGGCTCGGCCCGTGTCCCCCGTGCCCCCGCCGCTCCTGCCCACCCTGCGCCCCGTGCCCCCCGCCAGCCCCTGCCCCTGCCTCGGCCCCGGCCACCCCCTGCTGCTGGCCCTGCTGGCGCTCCTGGCACTGTCCAGCCTGGTCCTGGCCACGCTGGCCATCTACCTGAGTGGTACGTGGCACTGGCAGGGTGGGAGATGGGGCATGTGGGGGACCAAACCCTGCTCAGCTCGCTCCCGTCCTGTCCCCGCAGTCCTGCAG